CATGACACTAAGCCCACTCTCAAGGTGGAATGAATTACATTTGCAGGAACCTGTCAGGATAGAGTTGCCCTCTAATAAGGCTTCTTTCCCTCTCCTCCCCCTTCTCCCTCCTCCCACACCTATCCTCAAACCACACACACACACACACACACACACATTGCCCAAGCCATTAGCACAAGGCCTGAGAGGGCCCCAACAGAGAGGGTCAAGCAAGAGGGACACCACTCTGAGAAGTCAATATTTCTCACCCTGTTTAATACCACATCCTCAGGACAGGGCAGACCAGGGACCCCAGGATGGTGGTGAGACAGCTCTGGCTTAGGAGCAAGGAAGAGCCACCATTAGATAAACCAGAGAAAACCTTCAGCCTGGGATGAGAAGCAAGATTAATGTAAAAAGCTAGTGTTGTAAACCGTAGTAACCATTTTAAAAGCCATTCTCAAGGGAATTTAGCAGAGGAATTAATGCAAGAGAGCTCTAAACAAAAAAATTGTCTGAACCACATCAATTTGCTAAACCTACACTTGGAATCTCTTTGGAAACAAGGTAGGTAAAATATGAATTTAAAAGAAAAGAAAACCAATTTCCTGAACCTTGAAATACGACGCTTTGGTTGATAATTTACAGCAGAACTGAACTCCACCTTTGTAAAATCACCTTTAAACCTGTTTGGACTGGAATAGACACACTTGGATTCCTCAAACTGTTAGAGGAGAACAAAACCCAAATAGCATGATATCCTCTGAGTTTCTGATTTCTTGGTTTCCCAGGAACTGCCATCCTCTCTTTTTATTTTTAATTTTTTTCTTTTATTTCATCATATTATGGAGGTACAAATATTGTTAGGGTTACAAATATTGCCCCTGCCCCTCCCTCCCCGATATGTCCCCCCGGTGGTGTGCGTCACACACGTTATGGAAACATACATCCCTTTCCTCCTCCCCCCTACCGCCTGCTCACCACCTGCTAAAAAGATTTATTTATTTATTTTTTTTTTTTTTGAGACAGAGTCTCGCTCTGTTGCCCAGACTAGAGTGCCGTGCGTCAGCCTAGCTCACAGCAACCTCAAACTCCTGGGCTCAAGCGATCTCCTGCCTCAGCCTCCCAAGTAGCTGGGACTACAGGCATGCACCACCATGCCGGCTAATTTTTTCTATATATTTTTAGTTGGCCAATTAATTTCTTTCTATTTTTAGTAGAGACGGGTGGGGGGGTCTCACTCTTGCTCAGGCTGGTTTTGAACTCCTGTCCCTGAGCTATCCACCAGCCTCGGCCTCCCAGGGTGATAGGATTACAGGCGTGAACTACCACACCTGGCACTAGGAGCTGCCATCCTCTCTTAAGAGAGGACACTGCCTCATCCTGCTCCGTGACCCCAACAATCATAGCCACAATCCTAGAAGTCTGCCCTTCCCCAAAGGGCTGACAATGACAACCTCCTATGTGCAAACATTGGGACATCAGCATGTGGCCTGGACCAGGCAGTCACACACCTGTCTCACACAGCACTTTCCCAAGATCCTGGTTATTCGGTCTAAATAATACCAGGTGTGGGACATCAGAGAGATCTTAACTACGTAATGTATGTGCTTAGGCAAAATATATCTAGAAGAAAATCAATCAGTGGTTGCTTGTAGGTGATTGAAAAGGGGATTTTCTTTCTTTCTTTTTCTCCATATTTCATTAAAATTTTTTTCTTATTTGTTTTTTTTTTTAAAAAGTACATGCAGCACACCTATGGCTGTGCTGCGCTAAGACTAGCTCCTTCTCAGTCTCTGTTCTGTTCAACAAGGGTTCCAAAAAAGCTGGGCATCCAGTCACACCCAGGTCCCTTTAAGACCACAATTATTATTCCGTATTAAATGCCCACCGGAACATGGCATGGTGTCATGGAAATGTAATGGTCACTCCGAGAGACACAGAAGCACAGAGAGGCTACCACCAATGATCTCCCAGAAGGAGGAAATAAAGACAGAAGTGCCAGGGAAGGAGAGGAAAGAAGAACGAGAAGGAGCAAGGGGAGGGGGAAAGGAGCAGATGGTCATTAGTCAGGCTTGTGCCTGCCTTGATGGGGCTGTGTACTACTCCAGTTAACCTCACCTTCACCCCAGTATAAAAACCACTCTGCACCTGAAGTTTGACATATCAACACAGAACTTATTTTTATTTGCTCCATACCCAAACTGCTCATCCTACCTGTCACACAGGAGCAACAAGATAAATCGCAGTTTCTCTGTTCCTCACCTGAGCCTCACCTATTGACAGTTCCTGAGACTTTGCTCTTTCCTCTACACCTTGCTGTGTTGGTGTCTATAAAGTTGTGGGCTCAATATAAAGAATCTCATCTCCATCTCCCTCTTCATCAAGGGGTGGTTTTGTGTTGCTTACCTATAGAGGTATTATACAGGTGTTTGGCTTCATACCAAGCAATGTTAAAGCAATCAATTGCTCAAGTTTGGAAGGCCACTAACCCTGCCTCTTACTAATAGAGTGATCTTGCAAATTAAGTATATCTTTATATTTCTCTCATTAACGAGAAACAGAATTTCATTGATCTACAATGCCTTTGATTATTAAATACATCATTATTTTATATACCACTAAGAAATAAAAAAAATACTTCTAATTAAACTATGACACAATTTTAAAGTGCCATAAATTGTAAGATGCGTTGTGACTTTAGAGATACTAAATCTTGAAAAAAAACACAACTCTATCTTATGACCAATGAATACAACATGCTACTTAGTACCATGACCATATTTAACATAAACCCAAAGTTTGGTTTCTAGGTCACTGGGTAACACTTGAAAATATGGAATATATTTATAATGAATTTCTTTAAATTAGCAGCATAATGAAAAAAGAACATTTAAAAGACATTTATAGGGAACTTATGAAACCCAAAAACATATACCTGTATTCCCAGAATTTCACCAACATTGCTTTGAGAAATATTGACTTACACTTCATGTCTAAACCCTATTAACATCACCCAGACATCAGGGATGTTGTAGAAATTGATAAAATCACATCAAGAAAACATGTTTAGTTATTAAGAAAGTTATTAAGTTAAGTTATTAAGAAACAAAGACCCTATTCATCAGAGGAATTATTTTAACAGTTTATTAAATGCCACTTATGTATGGTAGAATGACGCCTTAAAAAAAAAGGTAAACCTTAAATCATCAACTGTGTTTTTTAGGGAACTAAGGGCATTCACTTTCAGTAATTAACTGCTATCCTCTAACAATGTGTTAGCATTTTACATACATTACTTCAATGTGACATTATCCATATCTTCACAATACATCTATCATTTTAACACATTTTCCTGTTTGGTCTAAGTATTTTCCACTCAGTATGTGCTCCAAACATATCCATATAAACTCTGTCCCTTCTCCCATTCTATCATCCCCTTAATGGAAATGGAAATTACCAACATTATCTGTATCCAACAATTTTCTTTCCAATAACACAAAAACTCAACATCGAATACAAATAAGAAAACATAGGTGATAAAAAGAGATTAAAATACGAAATTCATACATTATCATTTTACTCATAAATAACTACTCTTTTCATTTGGGTATACAGCCTTTCAGAAGTTGTAATGCATGTAAATATTTTATACTTCTCAAAAATGGGGTATACTGTGTATACAGTCATGTAACCACCTTTCCCACTTAAGATTATAAACTGGATTTTTTTCTATGTAAATAAGTGTAGATGTCCATCAATATTTTCAACAGCTGCAGAATATTTAAATGTATAGACATACCTTAATTTGTTAGCCAGCTGCCTATTTTGTGATACTTGAGTCATTTATAATTTTTCACCCTTCAAAACAGTTTGAAGATGCATAGCTTTGTACAAGCCAACTATTTGATTACTTCCTAAGGACAAATTCAAGTGGAATTACCAGGTCAAGATGTACATCTTGAAGGCTTCTGAAGCCTGTATCCCAATGGACCTTGTACCAATGTGCACTCCCACTTGCAGTTTGAGAGTGCCCCTCCCCACACACCCTTACCACCCTCATCAACACTATGGGGTGGGAGAGAGGGGGGTCTTCTCCCATGTGGACCCCAACAGCACTCTCGATTGTTCCATAAAGGCCCCACCTTAACCAACCTTATAAAAGAAATCTGATAGAAGCATGAAAACTTGTTCTTTCTTCTACTATATTTTCTTGTTATTTCAAACTAGTACTTATCTGATTCACTTACATAGACACTAGGATTGACCAAGGAGGAGGATGTTTTCTTATCAAATGCCCCCAGATCCCTAAAATAAAATTGGCCCTCCCTGTATGTCCCCAGAATAGATCCCAGCACTTATTGGTTCAAAGGATCTCTCACTTTCATCCTCTCCTTACCATTCCCATGGCCACCGGTGAAATTTCATGCCTTTATCATCTCATGCCTGGATTATTGTGGTCACTTCCTAACTGGTTTTCTGATCTCCAGTCACCACTCCTGTCCCCACCCCTGCTCTGACCCATCCTGCACACCAATCAACCACATAGTGTTCCTTTCATCTTGTCACTCCTCTGATCATGAAAGGCCCTGGTTTCTCCCAGGGTGGATGGGGTAATATTCAGACACCCCAGTTTAGCAGTTGGGGGTGCTCCACAGTGGGGACTCAGCCCTACTTCCCTACTCTATCTGCCATCACTCCCCTCCCACACTTTCCACTCCAGGCAGGCCAACCTCCTCTCTGGAGCCGGAATCCTACCTCCAGCACTTTTTTCCCACCACTCCTCCCTCCTTGAATGTCCTTCTGACCTTTTGGTGTCCTATCCCAGCTTACTTAAGTGTCCCCCTCCTCTGTAAAACTTTCCCTGAGCCCTGTAGCATGCAGCTCTGCTACCTCTAAGCACTAACGGAAAGCATCTGACCATGATTGGTGGCTCTCAGTTTTGTTACTATCAATATCTCTTTGTTTCCATATATTTGCCTTTCCAAACAGATCATAAACTCAAGAACAAGGACAATGTCTTTTTTTCTGCTGCTTAAAACACAACTTTATTGATGAAACACAGTCTTAGATTAACAAATGTAAACCAATACAAAAGTATAGCTTATTTATGATGTATAATTAGTTCACCGTCAGTTTAGGTAGAGGAAAGAGTAAAAATATCTCAATCTAAGTAGCAAGATCAAATCAATAACCCCTTTCTTTGTACAAGCTCTAATATTCATTTGGCATCCTTAAAATGGTCCAGCTTAAACCCGACCATCACAATCAGCATCAATATTCATTATTCCAAAATAGTAGTTGAAAGGATCTCTTTGCCACATAAACACAGTGAAAAACAAAAATTTACAAAACACATTGTTCACAACTTCAAACTCAAAAGTTGCCTCAACACTTTTTGGGATAGACTCCAAATTAGAGTTTGGTTAATACTTTTAGGACCTTTACTTTCACCACCAGATCATTGTGACTTGCTAATGCTTTAATTTTCTTAACACAAACTCCAGATTCTTTGAATAAGAAAAAAAGTGAACTTCTGCTGAATTCTTTCCTGGATGATGCAAGCCCTTCACTTTTTATGTTGTCATTTATATTCTCAAATAGAGTAAGGATATTAAGAAGAATTTCTCTATCCCATTCTTTATTAAAGAGGGAAATCAATTCTGATGGTACTTTACAACTGACCAGCTCCCTTGTCATAGCTGGATTTTCAGTGAAGTTTATAATTAGTTTCATAATCTGTATCTTGGTGAAGTGATTTCCCAGGAATAGCAAAGCAAAAAAGTCTGGAAAAGAATAGGAAAGCAAATGTTGGTAGTGATTAGTCACAGTCATGTTGGTTAACAGTCTCAATCCAGCCATCTGCACAGCTGAGTCCAAACGACAGACCATGGTGTCATCGCACACTTGACTGATATATGTCTTAATTTTGCCCTGATTTTCAGAGTTCACACTCAAGTTATTAAGGGCATTGTAAGTCTTTTCCCTAATAATAGGGTCTTTGGTTTTTATAAGTTTTGCAATAATTGGGACACCACCCAATTCACGTATGGCATTTTGGTTAAATGAATATGCTGCATTGTTACCCAGAGTGATCAAGGCTACTTCTTGAATAAAAGGATCATTTGTTCTCTCCAGGATGTTAAGGACCTTTTGAAGGTCCGGAGCACTCAGAATATCATCAATTTTATAGGGAAAGTTGAACTTGCACCTGCGGACAGGCCATGTTGTAGGTAGGGCCTTGGTGCTCTTACTTCGGGTCTTTCCCTTGGATTTTGCCCTTGCCCTGCTCCCAGTCCTAGCACCATTCCTGGTGGGGTGGCAGCCTCCACCCCTGCCTCCTGGGCAAGGTAAACTTGATGCAAGGGTCCTGTTCCCAGAGATGGAACCCACCCTGGTCCCTTTGCCCGCCTTTGCACTTGCCTGTTCCTTCAGGGTGTTGAAAAGGGCCTTGGCCTTGGCTTCTAGGCCACCTCCACTCTGGGGTATCACGTGGGACTTCACTTTTACACCTGGACCACTCTCCAGTCCCAAACTCACCTCAGGTTTGGCCTTTAAAGAACCCTGAACTTTGGCCCCAGACCCTGCCCCAACATTAGCCTTAGCTCTTTTCCCAGTCTCAATCACAGTCTCTGACGTGTCACTGGACTCCTCCTCGTCTTCCCAGATTTTCTCGTTCTCATCTCTCCCCCAGGTCAGTTTGTATACGCAGTAGCAGGCACCAGCCCCGATGACCACGCCGGCGGCCACACAGCCAGCTTCCCGGGTGCGGCCCATGGTAAAGCCAGGGAGAATCTCTTAACCTGGACACAGAACAGGCTTGCTCTGGCCCAGAGGGGGACGGAGTCTTCAGCTACTGACTGGCTTTGCGGGTGGCAGAGACAACAAGACCTAGGAATAAAGGAAAGATTTCAGGCTTCAGGCTCCTCCTCCTTTTGTGCCTTTGCATGCAGACAGACTGACAAACGTACAAAAATACAGGGATATTGGTAGGGACTCACAAGGCTTGGTATCTAGATCACTGATCCCTTTCTTCCATCGGGAAGCTAATTTTGGAAATTTTTCCCATCTCCAGATTTCCCTTAAGTTCCCCTACCCCACCTCAGAACGTTAAATTTAAAGTATCTGATCAATTCCCTACCACTCCTACCCTTCAGATGTCCTGGGGGCAGTGGCTCCCTCACATACACCCACAGAGGTCCAGGCGTTTCTGCGTCCTGCAAACCTGCAGACAACAGGGTGGGGAGGGGGGTACTGAGCGCTCAGGGAACAGATGAACTTCACCGGGACAGGGCAGGTGTCCCTGTTCTGAATCCCTAGCCCTTGTCCTGAGTTGCCCAATGTTTCCCACAGTCCCTTACCCCTCTCCTCACCAAGCTGCTGCGAGCTGCAGCTTTGAAATTCATTATCTCCCTTATCTCCCTCCACCTCCTCCCTTGATGATCCTCTCCTCTAACTGTCCACTTCACCCTGTCACCCCCCACCCCCCAACCCCCAACCCCCGTGGGTCACATCCTCTGAAGGTGAGGCCCACACCCCCTTCCTTGTAACAAAATGGATGGTGGTGAAGTGAGAATATCTAGAAGCCAGACAGGCATGAAGTGCATGAAAGTGTCTAACTCCGCCCTTACCTCTGCCACCCCCACCAAATCAAAGGGACCAGGACAACCGCCCTCCAATTATACCAACTTCTATTGCTCGGGAGCAATTTCCTTCCTCCCTCTTCTCGGTTTCCGCCTCCGCCAAACCTAAGGACTGACAAACTCTGGAAGTGAGTGCTTGGTGGACACACCAACACCAAGGACACTGTACCCCAAACAGTAATTTGGAGTAACGTGCTCCCCACCCCCTCCCAGCCACTATCTTCCCTGTCTAGTACCTGAAGAGCACTTTCTTTTGCAAGCTCCGAAATGTTGTAGAGAGAAGAAGGAAGGAGGAGGAGGAGAAGGAGGTGCATGGACCCGTTGGAGTTTGCTGTCGCCGTCATCCTCCACCCCAGGGGTCCCCAAACCGTGCCATGGCCCTCACTTTCACCTACTTGGTTCTGGACGATTTTCCTCTTCTTCCTGCTCCCAGGGTTGGATTGGCCTTCAGGCACAAGATTCACAGACGCAGTCGACCCAGCAGAGACAAATGGCTCGGCGAGCAGCACTTCGGAGAGTCCCAATACCAGCTTTTCCTAATTCAGGGTCCTGGTTGTCAAATGGATTTTACCTTTTTGTCTCTCACCCTGCCCCCACTTCTCTGGACTCGGCTGACACCAGCCCTCTCGCTACACGGCGTGCAGCCCCCTCCGGTCCCCACCCCATCCCCGGGCCAGAGGGCGGCCATTTTCCCAGCAAAACCACACCCCTTGGTAACCGCTGGAGGGAGGGCGCAGCGAGGGCTAATGGAAAACCCGAGGAAGGAAAGAAGACCAAACAATCTCTTCCGTCGCTCCCCTTAGCGCACCCCACCCCCAATGACAACTGTTTTTCCTGTAGGCACTGTTACATCCTTTTTCCTGCTAAGAATGGCAGTGAGTTTGCTGGAGAGTCATTAACCGGTCCAAGTTAAGGCGAGGACCTCAGCCAACCCCACCCTTCCGGGGGCCGCGGGGCAACTCCAGCTTTCCACAGACTGACCTGCAGGGATTCGAGGCAGATTATTCCTTTGCTCCAAATGGCATAACGCTCTACGGAAAGACAAGGGGGATGACAGTCAAACGCACAGCTGCAGGATTCTGGCTTGGTAGACGGGTCCGCACACAAGACGCGAATCCTAATACCGGCCCTCCCCCATTCAAGGCCCTGGATGCCGAAGGGGTTTCCTCCGCCCCCTTCCTACTCTGGGATCTCCTCTGAAATCCGACCCCAAGGGCCACCATTTTTGTTCTAGGGAGGGCCAGGGAGAATGCAAGGGTGTGGAGAAAGCGGGCTGGGTCCCCCTTCGGCCTCCATCCTCCGCTGCCCGCACCGCAGGGATCCCCAGGCAGCGCCCATCCACACACAGACCTGCTGGGATCCAGGCATACACCTCCTCCTCCTCCTTTCCTCGGCCACGGCCACGGGCCCGCCCTCTGGGCAACAGGGAGAGGGCAGCTCGACCAAACGAAGACCAGGATTAGAAGGACATCTGCACACGTCGGCTTCTGCTCACGTGAGGGCCACGTCACCCGTGAGATCAGGACCCCAGTTACCACTCCCACCAGCAGTGCGGCAGGAGCCGGCCCTCCCCTTTCCTTCCCTGCCACACCGGGTCCTGCCACTCATCCCTTTTGCCAATCCTGGAGTCCAGAAGTGGCTTCTCCCTGTGGTTGGAATTTGTCTCTCTTTATTTAACAGGGAGAGACTTCATCTGTTCCCATGTCCACTGGCTTTTTCTTCCTCTTCGAGGAATATTTTTTCCTCTTCCCTACTCCCAGTGCAACTGCCTTTCCCTTCACTGCCCACTCCTCCAAGGCATGAAGTTCCAACATTTCTTCTCCACCCTTATACCAAATGAGGGGCTGGATCTCAGAAAAGGACATAGGTAGTGGGAGTGTCTTGCTTAAACTTTTCTGTTCACTTTTGAAAAATCAGTAATACATTACTTTTATACTGAGAACATGAAGTGATGCTATTTTCACTTGAGTGGAGGAGAATTTAAGTGGGAGAGAAAAGCCCAAAAGGCCTCATTAATTTCATTATATTTGTTTGTAACACAAGCAAAATGTTTCTACTGGTTATAGCCAAATCACAGCTTTCAAAACCTACTAATTTGTTTTAAAACTGAAAACTGGAATTTTTTACATGATCTATTAATTAGTCCACGAAGAGACGACCAGTTGTATAATTCTGGCCATTTTACACAAATGATTCATTGCTTTTTCTACTTTTGAATCAACTTGCAATTTGATAAGATAAAAGCAACACAATCCTGTCTTGTTCAGTTAAATCAAAACATTTGTTTCATGTCCCAAAGTCTTGGCTGTCTGTTGTGTGAGCCTCTTGTGATTTAATGGCTACTCTGAACACCTGCTCCTGGATTGGATTCCAGTCTATTAAGGCTGAGGCAGCTGTGGCGCAGAAATGGTCTCATCCTGCCTGCCTTGTAAAAAGCAGGGGAAGGTTCTGCCCTCCCGCCCCTCCCACATTCCAGCCCCTTTCACCCCCTGCATTCAGGCACCAACCTCACTAAATACCTTTGGCTCTATCCCTTCCTCCCCCAAATTCCCACATCACTGAAAGGTAACTCAGCGATGCACAGTAGGGATTACTGTTCCCACCTACCCCTCTGCCCTTCTTCACGGTGAGTGGAGGGGTGCACGTTGCTCCTACCACTGTGTGCTGCCACCACCTGGCCTGAGAAGTGCAGCCCGCTGGGCCTCTCACCTCTGTCTTGCCTAACTCTCCCACACACAGTGAGAACCTAAACTTTGGTTTTTTTAAGTAGACACACATAATATCTGCAAATGACGGTTTTTCAATTTTTCTTTTCCATATTTATATCTCTTACTCTTTCATTTTCTCCACGTACTGTATTGACCAGAACTTCCAGAACTACACTGAAAAATAGTGGTGATTCCGCACAGGCAGCTCTCCGAAAAAACAGAGAAAAAAAAAAATACTAGTGATTGAAGTAAATGGGAACTCCCTTAATATTAATATTTCACCATTTAGCATGACATGACATTTGCTGTTTGTTTCTGATGTGTTCTTTTTCACCTGTGCATGTGTGATTTTGCGGGGACACCTACAGCTACACATTCATAACCCTTTATGTTAGACTGAGAAAAATTTAATTGCCCACATCATGATATTGGGAGGAGGAGGGAAGCAGGGAGATCTGCCACAGTGGGGAATTTATTGGGAATATATTGGTGAGCAAAAACACACACAGACTCTGCTCTCACAGTGGAAATAAGACCTTAATGAAATAAGCACACAAACACACAAACTGATAAAAATACTGTGAAGGAAAGAAATAATATAGTAAAAGAAGTAGCACAGTCTAAAGATCAGGGAAGGCTTCCTTGCTGAGGCAGAATGAGTAAAATTTTGAGCCGAGATGAAGGAAAACAGGTGTTAACTAGGAAAGAGAGGGGCAGAAAATAAAAATGTCTCAATTTCCTCACCCCTCCAATAATTACTGTGATAACCAAGCCACTTCAATCCTAGGATAAATCCTGTGAAAATCACTGCTAACTTTTCAGCTGATTCCTTCCAGGTTTGTTGTTGTTTCATATATATCAACAAAAATACATATGTAGATACATTATATGTGTGTGTACACATATTTCTTTCTAAAATAATTTAAGACTATACTATGTGTATTATTCTGTAAAACATGTTTTTCCTAATATATCACATACATCTTTTTTTTTTTTTTTTTTTGAGACAGGGTCTCACTTTGTTGCCCAGGCTAGAGTGAGTGCTGTGGTGTCAGCCTAGCTCACAGCAACCTCAAACTCCTGGGCTCAAGCGATCCTACTGTCTCAGCCTCCCGAGTAGCTGGGACTACAGGCATGTGCCACCATACCCGGCTAATTTTTTCTATATATATCAGTTGACCAATTAATTTCTCTATTTATGGTAGAGATGGGGGTCTCGCTCTTGCTCAGGTTGGTTTCGAACTCCTGACCTCGAGCAATCCGCCCTCCTCGGCCTCCCAGAGTGCTAGGACTATAGGCGCGAGCCACCGTGCTTGGCCTAATCTATTATTTTTTATTTCTTTTTAAGTACCAAATTGTTTTAATTACAGTATCTTCATAATATGTTTTAATATCAGAAAGAGTAAGGTCTCTCTAATTAGTCTGCTTTTTCATAATTTACCTGCCTCTACTCATATGTATTTATTTAGAGATTAAAATGTATTATTTTGTTAAAGTCCCCTGAAAATCTTGTTTTTAATTTCAATTTGGATTACATATCATTTATAAATTAACTGAGGATTAATTGGCATCTTGGCAAGAATATCTTTATATCCAAGAACCACAGTTTTTCTAGTTATTTGTCTTCATTTATTTTTCTCAGCAGTGTTTCTAAATTAAAAAAAAAATAGCTCCTAGAACATTGCCTGGAATAATAAAATTATCAATAAATAATTTGCTGAATGAATTGATATGTCTTGCAGATTTTTTGTTAAGTTTACTCTTATGTAGCTTATCTTTTCCCATGGCTATTGTAAGTTGGATTTCTTATTTTACATTTTTTGTTTATCTTTTTTTTTTTTTTTGAGACAGAGTCTCACTTGTTGCCCAGGCTAGAGTAGTGCTGTGGTCTCAGCCTAGCTCACAGCAACCTCAAACTCCTGGGCTCAAGCGATCCTACTGTCTCAGCCTCCCCAGTAGCTGGGGACAGGCATGTGCCACCATGCCGGCTAATTTTTTCTAATATATTAGTTGGCCAATCAATTTCTTTCTATTATAGTAGAGACAGGGTCTCCCTCTTTCTCAGGCTGGTTTCGAACTCCTGACCTCGAGTGATCTGCCCGCCTAGGCCTCCCAGAGTGCTAGGATTACAGGCGTGAGCCACCGCGCCCGGCCTGTTTATCATTTTTATATATGAAAGTCAAGTGGATGTGAAAGTGATTAGTTTTCATATATTGATTTCATAACCAGCCTCTTTATGGAGTTCCTACAGTTTCAAGTAGTTTTTAGTTCATTCTCTTAGATTTGTTTCATTTGTGGTAATAATAATCTTGCCTCCTTTCCAATATTAAAATAACATTTCTTTCTCTTGCCTAATCGCATTAACTAGTACTTCCAGAGCAGTATTAGTAATTGTGGAAATAACTGTCATACTTATCTTTTTCCTGATTTTAATGGAGATGCTTCTAGTATTTGTCCCTTAAGCATGAAGGGCTTCTTGTTAGAAATGTATATGTTTTTGTCATGTTTAAGAAGTATTCACCTATTCAATAAATTGTATCTTGGCCCGGGTCCGGGTGCTTGCGGGCGTCCCACTCAGCGACGTAGCGTGCACGAGTCAGCGGCACTCTGTCCCCCTTTCCTTTCCCTGATGCCGAAAGCAGGCGATTGCCAAGGCAGGCGACCTCGGGGACTGCCACAGCCCGAGAGCTGCTTGACTCCTCTATACCCAAAATAGAAAGAAATTAATGACCAACTAAAATACCTAGCGCAGTCCAAGATAGTGCTATTATACGTACCAACATGAATGTGTAGGAATTTGTCTCGTCTTTCACGGTCTATAACAGGGAGAGGGGACCTCATCTGTGTGCCCATGTCCACTGGCTGTTTTCTTCCTCTTCGAGGAATAATTTTTGGTCTGCTCGCTGTCTATCCGTCTCTGTCTAGCACCAGGCCTTTACCCCTGCGAGAGGCTGAGGCATGGGACGGAACGCATTGAGCCAGGAGATGAGCTTGCTTGCCTGGTGTAGCGAGGCTGATGCATGGCACCTCCACTCTATTCCTGTTCATTTGCTGGCTCCACTCCTCCTTTTAAGTGGCATGTTGAAGTGTGCCAGTTGCCCTGGGCAACAAAAAGGACGATATCTGCTCATATAATACGTATACACTACATCAATAAGAACAAATCCTGTTTGACAAATCTAAAACAAGAAAAAATAAAATAAAAAATAAAATAAATAGAGAAAGGGCATAAGAATCTACATATAAACAAAAGATAAATGTATCTAGCTAGAAAAGGATATGACTATTGATTATAATTCTGCTTCAATTTCCTATAATTTTCTCTGCTATGCTCTTCCTTACATATATGCTTCATCCTCAAGCTAGACATTCTGATGGAACCAAAATTACCACAATAGTTCTAGACCTTACGCTAGCATATGTTTATAAGTCAGAATCCTAGTGGGGAAAACAAATCCAACTCAGAGGGTTCAAGAGACTTGAGTGTAGGGACTACTTACAGAGGTATATGTAAGATTGAGAGACCCCACAAGGGATTTTGTGGCACCCAGAGACTAGCAATGGCAAGAATCTGTTATCCAGGCCTAAAAGGGCAAGAGGAAGAAATAGTATTAATATTACTGGAGCCTAGTGACAGCTAGAGTCATGGAAGAGAGGCCTTCTTCAGGGAGCTTAATTTAAGTCTTGAAGGAATGAAATCACTGCCAATAAGACATAGCCCAAATCAGAGTGGGAGCGGGGAAGAAATACCTTGTCTTCTCTCTTCTGCCCTCCAAAGTTTTCAGTGCATTTCATTGGTTAAACCCAAGGAAAGCCAACCACAAATGGATCCTGGGGGATGCAGTCCATAAGGGTCAGTCTCCCAGGGCACAGAACCGGACAGAGCAGGACAGCAAATGGATCAGGATGTGTGGGAAAATAAAGACTAACCAGCATGGTCCACTCCTTTCACTTTCAGCACCATTCTTGCCCTTTATCCAATAAAGAGGCAGAAACATAACACCAAAGTCAGTAATCATAACTTTATTCTTCTACTACCTATTTTATATTCCCCTTACAGCAGCCTGGTTAAAGTTCTTTCCCTGATGTAGTGACCCTAACCTTCACTACATCATGG